GCAGGCATACAAAGCATAAATTGGGTCATAAATATGTATAACTGAGCGTTGTTGTGTATTGTTTTGGCCAGAGTGTGCTTTCGAATGAATTACGACGTAAAAGTCACGTCATACTCACGTGCTACAATTGGAAAATTGCAACAACTTTTAACTGCACTTACATACATAGTCTTGCATGTTCATTTGTTCGTGAGTGAATATATGTACATATGTGAGTATATATTTGGCAAGCTCGTTTGAGTATAAAGTACGTCGATTTTCTCACGTACGCTGGCTCTATGACCTCCAGTGCAGTTTCACACTTTAAACATTTACTTACTTATAGTATCTATATTTATCTTTCCTTAAACATATTGAGGAAATTGCTTTGAATGTTTGTGATAATAAGAATTTTTAAGGCTAATTATTGATAATGTCGCGTATGTACATATGTACATATGTATGTCTATCTACTTATTAGAATTTCAAATTTCCAATTAGCTGTTTGTCTAACAAATGTTCTATAAATAAGAAATTGAATCGCAAACAAGTGTACACCAAAGCTAGCTGTCAATATGATATCTCTTCTAAAATTGCTCGGTAATGAGTTTAAGACCAAACGAACTCATTAGTTATTGTAGTTTCGCCATGAAACTATTTTATTGGCGTATATATTCAACATTTCCAACTTTAAACAAAAAGTTTGTCAAAACTGTCATACACTGAATACAACCTTGTTTCCGCTCCACTTTTAATTCGCATTATAAACATTAGCGGTAGCACTGCTTTATCGACTCAATTACAACTGCAACTTGCAGTTTCAAGAGAATGTGTAGCATACTAATAGGCTGATTTAGTCATGCAGCAGATAAAGTACAATAATTTATAATATTGTCATAAGTTCAAAGTGATTACTATATTGGTCAAGTAAAAAGTTCGTTCGGTTTTTTTTATTGATTTTTTCAAAATATGATAACATTGTGTAAATTTGTCCGATTTAAGTCAAATATGCGCCGCTTTGTTCGTAAACTTGTTGCCAACGAGACGCCAACTTCATAATACCTTTCTCGTAGAAGACTGCGTCCCTATTGGCAAATATCTCGGAGAGCCAATTTTCACAGGCCTCTCTTGAGGCCAACTTCTTGCTATTAAGCGCATTCGCCATGGACAGAAAAAAATGATAATCACTTGGTGCTAGATCCGGACTATAAGGTGGGTGCATTAGGACCTTCCATCGGAGCTTCTGGCGCGTCAACAAAGACGTATGTGGCCTGGCGTTGTCCTGATGGAACACAATTTGGCCTCTGTTAATCAAAGATGACTTCTTCTGGATGAGTCCTGCCTTCAAGCGGTCCATTTGTTGGCAGAAGAGGGTCGAATTGAGCGTTTGGCCATAAGGAAGCAGCTTGTAATATATGATTCCCTGCTAATTCCACCAAGCTCACAGAAAAACCTTCCTGGCCGTCAATCCGGTCTTGGCCCCCTCTGAGCCGCTTCCCCGATCTTTGACCACGACCATTTGCACTCGATATTATCGTAAGGGACCCGTTTTTCGTCGTCCTTCACAATCCGCTTCAGAAGCGGGTCGATTTTGTTGCGATTCAGTAGCGATGAGCTTCTTTTTGAATCCAAGGTTATGCAAATGGTTCCAAACGGCTTTCTGGCTTATCTTTAGCTCCTCAGCAATTAAATAAATGCTCGCGTGACGGTCTGTTTCCGCTATTTCCATGATTTTATCGCAATTTTCGACGACAGGCCTCCCAACGCGTGGTGCATCATTGGCATCGAAACTACCGGAACGGAACCTAGCAAAACAACTTTTGTGCTACACGTTCGTTTACAGTATCGGACCCACAAACTAACTTGATTTTTTCAGCCGCTTTGGCTGCTTTTTCGCCTTGATCGAAGAAAAATTGTAAAATATAGCAAATTTTCTATTTGATGGTGTCCATCTTTGACGAGCGCTCACAACGTACTGAGTCAATCAATCGAAATACTGTCAAAGACAAACAAAAGGTAGAAGAGAGAGAGAGATCCAGTAATAGTAAACCTGTCGAGAAAGCTTTATATTAGACAAGCTGTTGATTTATACCCGCGCCTAAATGTAAGATTCAGACGATGTCATCAAGAATTCTTTCTATGAGCGTCTGGACCGCGCCTATTTTACCGCTAAGGCATATAACGTAGGCAACTTTGTCCGAGCACTAAATAAATAAAGCTACACATCGAAATCTCTCCAAAATTGTATTGATTTTCATAGGTTTTCTTTGATATATGTTTTAATGTTAAATGCTACCTCCTCAAATTCGTGAACCTTTTGGTATAAACGCACCGGTCCAAGTAGTATCTTTCGAGAAAGTGCTGTCGCGTGAAGCCTAGTATTGTCCAGTAACATAGATGTCGAACACTTTCTTCCACATGTACCAGCTCATCCACCGGCCAGCAACTTCTTAAATCTCTATGTCCGGACATCCTAAACACGATCATGCTGCATTAGTTCAGGAATCTGTTCAGAGGTGGTATTGCTCAATTTGTGGACTTCAGAAACAAGTTCAATAAACTTTGTTCGGCTGATATTTACTACAATATTACGGCAGCATTCTCGTTTAGAGGCTTCAAAAAATTCATTTTTTCTTCTTAAATCCATTCTAAACTTATCCGAGAGTAAATCTTGAAAATTTCAGCCGCCAATTCGAAAGCTCGGCCAGTACTTCGAAGCTCGTTTTGTCAAGTTATAATTTTTACAAGCTTAAGAAAACGGTGCCGGATAGCAAGATGAATATATTATATGTACATACATATGTCCGATTGAAAAATATCAAGGTGATCAAGGCAAATTCACACACGGTAGTAGCAAGAATACACGGTGTGTCCCAAGAAAACCGAGCTTTATATTTAAATCATACAACATACAGCGCCATCTATTGAAAATTCGCAACATTAAAAAGATACATTCATTCTCTTTCAAACGCACCTAACATAATGTAAGTCGGATGACAGATGTAAAAGTGACAACCATTTCAATAAAACCAAAAGTGTGCTAATGGTTCAAAAATAAAATGGAACAAAGACCAAATATAAAATTTTGTGTCAAACTTGAAAAAAAAAATTAATGAAAAAAGTTTATTGTGATGATTGTATGAGTCGTACGCAAGTTTAAACGTGGTTTACACGATTTAAAAACGGTCGTGAGGACTAAAATGACGACCCAAAGATAATATAATATATATTTTACTTTATATCCAAAAAGTTCGGTTATTTTTGGGACACACCGTGTACAAAAAAAGTTCCAAGTATTTTGTTTGCGTAATCATCGTTTCGAAAAATCAAACGCGAAAATCGTTCAATGCATTTTGTTTGTGTAAACAAATTTTCGAAATGTATTTTGTTTGTGGAATTTTTTTAAATAGCAGGAAGAACAAGCAATCATATGGTGTGACAATAAATTCGCTTCAGTATTTTTTTTTCAAAAATGTGAAATTTTTTTCTCAAACTTTGAAAGAATTTCGAATTTTCCAACTTAATTTTTTTTATTCTACATAGATGAGACGTTCCTAAAAATTTAAAAAAAAAATTCCGTTCGACTGTTACATATACATCAAGCGACCTCCACCACCGGCACTGTTTAACGAATTCAGAAGGCAGCCGCTTCAGAAAACTCCACACAAAATTGGAAAATTCCAAAAAATTTTCGATACTTGAAATTGTTTTTTGAAGCTTAAATATATCGCAATATATTCCTTCCCTTTGAAAAAAATTTCTAAAATACACTTTTATCGAGTTATAAGGGACATTAACGCCTTAAGCACCAGACGGATTAATTGACTTTCACAGAAGTACTAAATTCCAGTTATATAGCGGAAGACTATCTTCTGGTAATATGCTAGCAGTTTTTTGTTAGTAGTTGAGAACGCATTGTTACTGCAAATTCCATTGAGTAAGATCAAGTTTTCTCGACAAATTCCATAAATATTGGATCCAAACTTCACAGAACGTTTAAAAAGTAAAGGTCTGCATAATGGGAGGTGGGTCTAATTGTGGATCTTTGTCAGCCATTTTGGATAGGATTTTAGTATCATTAAGAGCAGCATACCTACCAAGTCTGGTGTGATTCTTTTGGCCAGTGTCTTAATTAAAAAATCCTCGTTAGTTGGGGGAAGCGACTTTTCCAACTCATTTTTTGGGTATTTTTTTTTTAACTGTGCGAAAGCTGATATCAAATATTAATGTGATGACCACAAGCAGATTTTACAAAGTTTTTTGATTTGAAAAAGCATTATCTTGGCATGCTACTACACGTGATTACACGATACATATCAAATACAGAAGCCCAAGGTAAGGCTTATCATAATCTATTATCTCTTTTGCAACTAAATAAAACAATTTCAGTTTTTGTATCTGTAAAAAAGAATTTATTTATTTATTTATTATTAAGCAATTTATTATTGTTGTTGTTTTTTTCATTCGGTTGGATGATGCTCTCAACTTCTCATTCTTATTTTTTTTTCTACTGTGGGGAAAAACATTACAAAACGTATGCAAAATGGAATATTAATAATAAAAATTATATATATATATATGAAATAAAATATAATATAATATAACTATAGATACATGTATATAACTAATAAAAAATCAACATAAAAATAAAATTAATAAAATATTTTGTGAAATGCACTTAAATGCAGCGGGTTGATGGCCGTTCGACAGCCATAAATGCCCACGACAAACCTTTTGTAGTTTACCAATTAAGATTAAAAATAAAATTAAAAATTAATAATTATATTATAATAGACTATAAATGAGTAGATATGTAGGCTTGAGTAATTAAAATAATTATTTATTTTATATCTATTTATATATGTATACAAGTATAAACAATGATTGGATGCGTTTAAATGTATGAGATTTTCGTGAATGCTTTTTTTTAAATGTATGCATGTATTTATACGTATTTATATATATGTATGTATGTACGTATATATGTATAATATGTAAGAATAATAATAATTATTAAAATATAATTAAGTAAATATGCACTAATTCATAAATTTAAAATAAATTGTTAAACGAAATGGAAGAAGAATTTGTAAGTTTGATTTATTTGATTTCTCCGCGACTAGAAGCTTTCGCTAGTTAAGCTGAAAGCTTCAAGCTAAATTTAGACGATTTTCGTAAATTTTTTATATTGAAAATATTCAATCAGGCTTTACGTAGAACCGTAAAGTGATTGCATGCAATGAATAATGATTTTTTGGTTGCAATTTTGTAGCTGAGAAAATAAAAGCTTTCGCCAAAAAGTCCAAAAGTGACATCAAAGGCGATAGTTTAGAGTAAGCTTTCATGTAGAGTTTTGTAATATACTTGTATATTGATGAGCTTTCGTATAAATGAGAGCTTTTACTTACCTGCGCTATGGGTAGCTTGGTGAGCTTTTTCATTAGTATATATTTTTGTATATGTAATTTTCTCTATCGAATTGCACTTATACAGACAGCAATATTGTACGGCAGCTTTGCTTGAGATTTCATAATTCCACTAAAGTCTAGTTTTAGAAAATATTTTTCTTTTTACACATAAAACTAAAAATAATGTAATGTAATGACGAGCTTAACGCTATATAATGAAATGCAACTCATTTGTAGATATCTATTTGAAATTCGCTCAGCGATTATTTGCTTATTATTGACGTAATTTCCACAGAGCTTTCAGCAAATTAATGCTCAAAGCTTTGCGCTCGGTGCTTACTCCACGTAATCCGCAGAGTTTATCGTGTTAACTCAACAGCGGTTTTTGTGATTCAACCCAAGGAGCTTTCCGTGTTATCACACCACAGAGCTTTCATTCTACCGCCTGTTGTTCAACATTTGCAAATAGTATTCACAATTCGTGCAGTAGACGGCCGGCGCGATCACATGACGCTTACGACAGAGATTGCACTCCACCGCTTTGGCGGATGCCTTTACAATGGCGTTGTTGTAGACACGTGTCGGTATGGCAGTTACATTGACGCTGCTATCTGCTGCCGCGGCGAGCATCACTGAGGGCAGACCATTCTGTTGTGCGGTGGTTGTGTTGTTGTTGTTGGCTGATGCACTGAGACTCAAAGGTTTGGGTGGTAAAGTCGCTGACATATTGTTGTTGTAGTTGCTACCGCTGTGGTTGTTGCTGCCATTGCACAGCGAGTCCGTTTCACCTTTAGTGCCCGGTTCAAAGCTGACCTTCTTCTGATGCGACGCCTTGGTGTTGGTGTTGGTGTGTTGTGCGGCAGCGATGGAATTTTGCGGCACCGGGAAGTAAGGAGAGGGCGCTGGGTTTGTGGAGTGTGAGGGTGAGGGCGAAGGGTATGGATTTTGCGGTTTGGGCATGGCTGGCGGTGGGAATTGTTCGCTGTTATAGCCGTGTGGTAGGGGCACGCGCTGGTAAGGTGAGGGCAGCGCGCCAGCATCCAAGCCGGGCACGCCGGGGTAGTAGGCAGTGTTTGGTTGCAGTTGTTGTTGTTGTTGCATATGTTGTTGGTGTTTTTGTAGTTGAACGGAGTAGCTTTGCTGTTGTTGTTGCTGTTGCTGTTGCTGTTGGTGGAGGTTGTGGTGTGAGCGTGGTATGCTTACGTAGCTGGATTGCGCATCCAAATTTTGTTGTTGCTGTTGCTGCTGCTGAGCTGCTAGCATCTGCATATGTTGCTGTGTGGCAACATTAGCGATACCGCTCATGCTCGTTCGCGCAGCTAATGGCAAATGATTACCGTTAACGTTGCTGTTGTTGTTGTTGGCATGTGCAGCCGCATATTGTTGTTGTTGTTGCTGCTGCTGCTGCTGGTGGTGCTGCATGCGATAGAGATCCTGTATAGGTGTATAGACCTGACCAGCCGGCAGGTATGGTGTACCAGATTGGTGTTGTTGTTGCTGCTGCTGTTGCTGTTGCTGTTGCTGAATTTGTAGCTGCTGTTGACGCAAAGCTTCGAGTTGTGGACGTTGCAGCTGCACATAACGTTGCATATCTTGGCCCTGCAACGGCATGGGACGTCGGTCGTTGCCCAACATAGGCGACTGCTGAGCCAATGGTGCTGGGGGTGGCGGCAGTTGCTGCTGTTGGACGGGTGCCGACAACGATTGAACGGTGCGTGACTGTGCTTCCGTTGGTAGGCGTATCATATTCTGTTGTTGTTGTTGTATCATTTGTGCAGTCACCTTCTCGTTGGGATTCTGCGCCGTACGCAAAACGCGTTCCAAAATCGGATTCGGTATAAAGTCGTCATCCTCCTCATTGTCCGCCGTCGCGACGAGTATAACTTGATCACAGAAAGAGACACTCTTCTTTTTGACGCGCTTCGGTAGGACGTGGGGATTGACTACATTGGCAGTGGTGGTTTGCTGCATGCTCTGTGATTGCTGTTGTTGTTGCTGTAGCGTCTGTGTGCTGTTTAATGTCTGCTGCACCATTGTATTGAGCATCTCCACCTCACGCAACTCCTCGGCGATCTGTGATTGTGGAACTTCATATTTCGGTTTGGGCAGCACTTGATGTGGTGGTAGACGTTGGAGGCGTTGTGGTGCGCAATCAACCTCATCCGACTCCGTTTTCATTGGCAGCGCATGATGTGGCGGCAGACCACTCATTTGTGTACGAATGGGCGGTTTTGCGGCGTTGAGAAGCTCTTGTGATGAGTACGAGCGCAGCGTCTGCTGTTCGCTGGCAACTGATGCCGATTTCGTTTGCTCAAAGCGGTGGGCTAGCTCGCGTACGCCATTAGACGACTGTTGCGTCAGCTGAGTGATGGGCGAATCGGTTGTGGCACGTTGCTGGGTTGAGTTCCTGAGATCAGTTTGTTTGGCCTGCAGCTCTTTCAGCCAAGTAGTCGGCTCGCCGTTGGTGGTAGGTGTGGCTTGCTCTTTGCGTAATTTCATCAGTTGATGACGTTGCTGCAGCTGTGCCAAAATGCTCGTGGTGCCTTCAAGAGTTTCCATGTTTCGTTGCTGTTTATTTGCTTCGAGCACTTGAAGCTGGCTGATTTGTTGATTGAGTGGTTCCAGATCGATCTCCGGCGGTGGTGGGGGGAAGTCTTCGCTGGCTTGACGCGAGTGACACACGGATTGCGGTGGACTTGGGTAGGGTGGGAGTTCAAGTGGCACATCGGAAGGATTGCTGGCGCCAGTGTTGTTGTTGCCTGTACTGCCGCCGGGTATACCATCAACTTCATCTCGACCCAGCTCGTTTGTTGTGGCCGCATAACCGTTATAGTGCTGATATTGCCCGTTCGTTGCCTGTTGATACATATTGTCCTTGGGCGGACTCTGCTCGTTGTGCACCTGCGCACATGTGGTTATGATGGTCTGGCACGAATCTTCGCTGATCGAAGTGTTTGAGCTCATAACGGAAATATTGGAGAGATTCGCCTCATGATGGAAATGCTGCATTACGGCGGCATCCTGTTGCTGCTGTAAGGCCAACTGTTGTTGGAGCTGTTGTTGTGTCAGCGCGGAGCTTGTGCGCATAGGCGGCGGTGGCGCTACCTTGGCTACTACAGTTAGTTGGCGTCCGCTGCCATGGAAACTCTTGCGCATCAGTTTGCTGCGCTCTAAGTTTGGATTTGCATTATTCGAGTCGCGATAGTCAAAGTGTCCCTCGGAAATGTACCCACTCATGCCGTTTTTCCCGTGTAACCCCACGGAACTGTCGTCCACAGAGGTCGCCAGCGGTGCGGGTGCCTCTTTCTGTGCGGCAGCATCATCACCCGCTTCAGTCAAATCGGGCATGGAGCGATTCTTACGTCTTATTAGACCACCCATAAGCAACTTGCGTCTGATCTTATGCTGCTTTTTGCCATTTTTATCCTTCTCTTTCTTCTCATCTTTGTCCTCTTTATGTTTTTTCAACGTATCCTTTGCGTTGACAAGCAAAGTCTCTGTGAGTGAGAACTCACGCGTTAGCTTATTGCGATCTTCACTGCGGCTACGCTTCTCCTTTTCCGACTTACTGCTACTGCGTCCGAAGATCGAGCGACTCTCCCGCTCTGGCTTAGCAGTGACCACGGGAGATGGGGGCTCATATTCGATTGCGTTGTCGTCGTTACCTACAGCGGCTGCTAGCGCTTTCAGTGGACTTTTCTTTTTCGGGAGCGTGGCGTAGATCTCAATGCTCTTATTTGCGGCTGTGGTCGCAGCGGCTGCTGCTGCTGCAACGCTAGCTTGCGCCGCGCTCTTGTCCAACGTCTTGTCCTTGCTATTTTGACGAACATGCTTTACACTGCTGTTGCTGCCTTCGCGCATATGCTTCATCTCTGGCATGGCATCCATGTCGGCGCCCTTTTCCACCAAGATGCGTCGATGTAGACTGCGTGCGCGCATTACGCAGGTGTTGTGCTTCATGCGTGCAAATGTCATTGTATGTGGATTGCTGTACGGCGCATCCATCGCGGCACGTGCACGTCCCGCGGCAGCGTTACAGAGCACCAACGCAGTCTCCAGATCGTGCGACTCCTCGACGATGCGCGATTTCTCCAACAGCTGATCGGCTTCATGACAGAGCTTTTCACAATCGCCCGAGAGTACTGTGGAAGCGCCCGCCTCGGGTATCTTTGCAAGTTGCGGATTCAAGTGGTGTTTCGGTGGATACGAGTCGGTCGAACTTAACGAGAACGAGTCATAACCGGGATCGTAGGGCAAACCATTACGTGTGGGGCTTTGTGGCACTGCGGGCGGATTACGTTTACCCACCATGTAGAGGTAAGGATTATCCAAAGTGGTGGAGGATGCAGAGCTTGCACTGTTGCGGTCACCCGACCAGTTGCCGGAGTCGCGACGACGTGGTTGATTTAAATGATCAGGCATTGTCAGACCATCGCTGGGCGGAGAAGAGCCATTCGAAGAGCCGCTCACATGACCGGACTCAGCGCTCTGACTACGCTGCAGTTGCAAGTGATACTTACGCACCATCTGCGCGTTGAGCACTTTGCCGATTTTATGTGCCAACGTATCAGTGCCATCCTTCTCATCACACGTTGGATTGTTGGAGGAAGAGCCATTATTGGCGAAAATCTTATCTTGCACGACGCTCAAGTTCTGATACTGCTGAGCACTGAGTACATGCTCTACGGTCTTGCGACGTATGTAGGCGTCGGTCTCATCATTAGTACTGCCGTTGTTATTGTTCCCAGCGTTCAAGTTGCTTATTGCGCCGGGAGTGGGACCAGCAAAGATATTCTTCTGTATCACACTCAAATTCTGATAATCATTAGGGGAGCGTAGTGGTGTTGGTGTAATGGCACGACGTGTATTGCACAAATTCGGCTTCTCTGGCGTGATAGGACTCGGCGTGATAGCGCGACGTACGATGGTAGACTGCTGAGATTCAGGCGCGAATTGTGTACCACCCGATGGTGGTTGTGGCACAGCGTAGAGCAGTAGGAGGGGCTGATAGCGGCCGCGACTGCACTTATCGACAACGCCTTCCCAATTGGGACCGACCTGTTTTCAGGAAGGAAGAAGAAAAATCAAATGAGAATCATTGCTGTTAGAAAACCTGGCAACCAGACTTACCTCCTTTACATTAGCATCATCGAAGTACACCCAAACCTTGAGTTTGGTATGAAAGAAGAAGGTCGTATAGTGTTTGCCATAATACGAGACAATTCCAACCAACTCATGTTGTACATTTTGAGCCCAGCGATGTTCGGCGACCTGATGGAAGACGTCCGATAGACGTAAGCTGGTGCCAATGGCTTTGAGCACAGCATGCACTTGGTCGGCGGCGGGACGCTCAGAGTCCCACACAATACCAATCGAGACGACATCAGGTCGGTTCAGCAGTGCGCGACAAATGCCAATTTTAGCGCCACAAGAGTTCTAGAAAGGCAAGAAGAAACTAGTTTAGTCTTCAAACTGTAATGGCGTTAATTAATCGCGCTGCTGTAGGCGCCAACACTTACCGGACAATCTCTGATGTCACCCATATTGCCAGCGGCGCGTAGTAATTGACCAAATGTGAGCTGTTGATGATTTTGCAATGCCAAACTATTCTGGGAGGTCAACGCTGATGCCGAAACATAGTGGACCATCTGGATGTGGGAAAGGAGAGAGAAAGAGAGAGAAGAAATCGTGAGTTGCAGCCAAATTAGACAGTGTAAACCACAAAGTGTTTATGATTAACTAATATAGTTTATAATTAAAAAAAAATGGTATAAAATCATATTTCAGTAAAACGACCACAAAAGGTACGACTAGTACAGCCGCGTGGGCTCATTCATTCAACCTAGCGTTGGAGGCGTACAAATTTTACGTTCAATCAAACTCGTTGCAGCCGCCGAGCTGTTGAACTGCGGAATGATCTTAAGCCTAAGTTGTACTTGAAGAAGTGATTGTTAAACCAATTATGAAAACGCACTCAACGCAGACCAAAAATGGTCAGCCAAGTGGACAGTTTGACCGCTTGATTGGAGAGCAAATAGTCAATTTGATTTTATTTATTTATTTATTTTATTTTTTTTTGAAAAATTAAACTTTATGCACACCGGAAAAGCACGCCCACGCCGTGAGCATATGTAGTGATTTTGATGTTGTTTATCCAAAGTCGGTTAGTTGCTAAGATATTGGGTCTGCGGGTGTAGCTTACTATGGTCGGCTTTATCAGCACGTGTTTGAGTGATTTGATATGCTTGTAATTGACAATTAACTCAATCAGATTTACTAAATATTCATAAATTATTTCTTATGCTTCACAGTCAGCAATGTCTGGATGGAACAACATAGAATGACAAAGAGAAAGGAGAAGGAATCATGGTAGACCCACAAGTGGAGAGACCTGTAACTCTGTTCGTTGACTCATACCAATTTCGGGTATAGAAGTTCTGTACAGTTTTATATTTCTCGAAGAGAGGTTTTTTTTGTTGAATGTAAACGATCTCTATGAGTTCTGAGCCGTCTAACAGTCCCAGACAACCGAGTGTAGTCCGCTAATTTTGAAGGAGGAAGCCACCTACAAAAAAATTAATGGCAAATCTCAGGTTTCACAGGCAATGTTTCGAGGAAAATGAAAGCTTATTAATGTTGCCAACCGCTTACTTGCCATCGAGCAGAGAACAATGGGCCGAATGTAAGACCATACTGTTTGTACCTTCCTTCGTTGACTTTACAAGTGATCTCGGCGATCCGGCCGTCTGTTAAGCCATTCTTCCTCGCCCTGTTTCGCCTTGGAAATTTTTCCCCAAAAAAAGTTTTTAGTGTGTATGGTATATTTTATCCGGCTCAGTCGCCAGCGAATATCATTTTCCAACGTAAAGAAGGACAAAATGAGTATCACTCGGGACTATGTTCAAACGAATATCGATGATAACGACAAAGGGGTTCTAGTCGGCCAACGTTGACTCAATTTTTCAATGTATTCCGATGTTGTCCACAACATGGACCCTTGGAAGCCCAGCAGCCCCTCTAACGTAACGCGCACATATCGCTAAATTACTGAAGGGCAGCGAAGACACGCACAGAATGACCAATTTTTATACAAAAGCAAAGCTCTAATAGGTCATATTAGAAATACATTCGTAGGATTCGAAATTATTTGTACAGTTAAAGAAATATTTTTTTATTATAAGTCAGGTACTGCTAACCGGATGTAACAAATATAAAAGCTGCGCTTTTTGTGGGCGTCTAGGAGAAGGCTTTTTCCTCCGCATACAGGTATATGAATAAATATTTGCCGCTCACAAAATTCTCTTCAGCTAAACGAGTTTCTTACTCGATCGGCTACTTCTATGTGAAGAACACTGTTTCAGCATAAAAGTATCATACTTTCCATCTATCTCCGTCTCATAAATGAGAAAGGACAGGACTAATTAACGTTTTAGTAATTGAAAATTCCTTTATCTCCCTCTTCAGATCACGTAGAGAAATTCCGATACAAAATTTGATATCAAGGCTTTTAATGCATTTTTTTCGCTTTTAATAAAAAAAAAATACAGAGAATTTTTAACTAACAGAATTTTAAAACGTCCACTTCTACGGCCATTTTTCGAAAAAACAGCAAAAATTTTTTGCTGTGTAGTTTTCGTTCAAAATAAAATAAAATAAAACCATTTTTCGAAAAAACAGCAAAAATTTTTTGCTGTGTAGTTTTCGTTCACGGAGCAGTTGACAAATGGTAGCCGCATTTTGTTACCAATTGTGTTAAGCTGTCGGTTGTCTTTTCTCGGTCAATGTTGGGCGTGTGGATTTTTAATTTATTTCACATTTTTACATTTTTTTATTTTTTTTTTTTTTAATTTTTTATTTTTTTTTTATATTATTTTTTTCACCTAATGAGTTTCACCTGGGCGTGGGTTACTCACTTGCTGATTTGTTTAAATCTAAAACATTTTGCTGGAGGGTGCAAAACAGCAAGACACATACAGTTATAGCATAAAAGAAATACCAAGAAATCAGAAATTAATAAAATAAAAAATCGAATATGTAACTATGAGTTCGCGTTCCAAAATATACACAATCACGATCTAAACAGAGAAAAAAAAGTGCGAGCTTATGGCCATTCTTGCCGATTGCTTTCATTTTCATTCAGCAAATCATTGGTATGGGTTGGATTAAATCTATTTTGTCATGCTTCCTGATTGGGCGAGCGAGTGGAACTAATGCGCGTTATACTATACGAGTATGTAAGTAATACATATTGGCACACTCAATACAATACCAAGAACAAGAATAACTGAAATTGAAGCTTAGAATGGGAGCGTAGGCAGTTAAGTAAACTATTGAAGTCTTATATACAGATTATAAGCGCTTACATGAGATCATTTTCTAAAGCATTTTATCAATATTCATGCACAAATGTATGAAAAAACAATGAAAACTGTTTACAGACGCTGTTAAAAATATACTTCACAACTAAATTTTTATAATTAGTAGATATTTTTTTATCTAAAGTTTTGATGATGTTTTGTATGTATGTCATGAAAATTATGTTATGCCATTTATGGTATGCCAAATATGTCATGGCATATGTGGTATAACATTAATTTTAAAAGTGTTTTAATATCTTTTTCCGAAAACGTTTTATGTCATCACATTTTTATTAAGCGACGTATGACATGATACAAAAATATGCTATAAAATTTATGTCATGAAATGTATGCCATATATGACATAACATTTATTTAAAAAAGTTTTTTGACTTATTTTTTAAACAAATTTAGTATAATATTTATGTCAGGATATGTTTGGTATGCAAAATTTGGCATGCCTTTTATTTTAATCGTTTTGCAATGTAATTTTGAACAAACTTATAATAATAATTTATGGCATGACATTTAATGGCGTAAAATGACATTTATTTAAAATTTTTTTTTTTAAACTTCTTTAAAATATATATATATATATATATATATATATATATAATATATCATATATTTTTTGAGCATAAACTAATTCATTTAACCAGTAAAGTCTTTGTAAGTAGTGCATAGCGATGTTCTACAGTGTCATTCAATTTTCATTATAAATTAACCTCTTTGCATCCATACAACAAACGCCTACAACACGGGATATAAAGAAAGCCAGTAAATGCACAATAACCAACGCTTTGTAACCGCTTTGTAAGCTAGTAAGATTTCTTTGCTATGACACCTTCATAATTTATACAAATGCATACGTATATATACATACATATATTTACGTATTTTATTTTCTTCGCTACAGTTCGGTGTTAAGTTCAAGTATGCAAATTTGCGCAACGCCTGACTTGGCTACAAATCATGCAGAGCTGATTTGTTGCTTACCAAGCAAGTTGGAATAGAAATAAGAACAAGAGTAAAAGAAAATCTAAGTGCAACACCATTAAACGCCATGAACAGACAGGCATACAAAAAAACATAAGATTTTTAGTGTAACAATGTGCATATAAATGAGTGTAGATATGTATGTGAGCTTATAATGGTGTATTCACACGCGAAACTGGTTAGTTGGCTCAGATTGAACGAGTTTCACAGCTTTGTTATAGAGGGACTGTTAAAAGACTTTACAAAAAAATGGGAAAAAATGATAATTGATTGCATAAGTCTGTAATTAAACAGATAATAAGCGCTAAATGTTTTAATTTTTTTTTCAGATAATTAAAACGGTAGCGGCAAATAATTTAAAAAGTGTTTTAATTTAATTCAAATTCACATAGCAGTGACCGTCAAGCATACTGTGGTCTTTGATGAGAACCAGTTCAGCGCAGAAAGACAGACGGCTAGTTGCTGTTAAGCACTTGAAAATTTGTTCTAAATATTTTTTTTTTTTTACTTTTACGAAACAACATTTAGTTCTCACTATATTGAGCTGAAAAAATAGTAATAAAAAAAATAAAAGAAATTAATGAAAAAAGGGGGAAAAAAAAATAAAATAAAATAAAATAAAATAAACGAAAATAAAATAAAATAAAATAAAATAAAATAAAATAAAATAAAATAAAATAAAATAAAATAAAATAAAATAAAATAAAATAAAATAAAATAAAATAAAATACACAATAAAATAAGCTACACAAATTGTAAGAAAATATGATAACATAATAATAAAACATAAGTAATAAAAAAACTAAATAAATTAAAGCAAAATGAAAACGTTATAATTCAACACAATAATGCTTTAACTGGAGCTTGGCGTTCGAGCATGTGAAAATTAACTTGTTGATGGTCAACATACATATGCATGTGAATTTAGTCTGAAGTGGCTGATTTATTGATAAATGTAGCTACTAATAAGTAGCTAAGCGATTATTAATCTTGTGTTGAAGGACAGTTTGACAAAAAAAAAAGATTAATTGCTGTGCTCTCAGCTACCAGACGAATACGCTGGAGTCAACTTGACAATTGGACAGTCATATAAGAAATGTATTGAAGGCTTTTTTTTTTTGAAAAATTTCTAAAACGTTACAATTAACTATGCTACAAAGTTTTTCGCAATGACTTCAATGTAACTTGTTTCGGACTAGCCAAGTTTATATCATTTTTGGAATCGCTTATTTCGTTGATTGGACTTTATTTAAACAGTTTTTTTAAATTAACAATAATGTGAGCAATTCTAAAGTAGTTAATTTCTTATTACCTTCAATAAATGGACTGACTACTAATTTTATTCTTAAAGAAAGCACATTTATTTAAAGTAAGCTGGTACACTAAATGTAATTATAAAATTATTCTTTTCAAAAGTAACTCCTAATTTTATAAAGAACTTTCAGATTAGTCAAATATTTTACTGCCTTCGGTTTAGTTGAATTTTAGGTGATGTAAAAAATTATAGTGAGTCTTTCACCGCTTTTTAAGCTTATTGCGCTAATATTTTGCTATTGTGCTACTGAAATCTTTTCTTAGCTGAACAGCGCCTTTTTTTGCTTTTGAAGTAGGACAAAGCGAAGCTTGTTTTTTTATACATAAACCAGTTTGAAAATATTTTTAATTAGTTTTAGTATAAATATAACTACAAAAAATAAAAATATAACTATAAAAGTATGGTAATAATAGTAGCATGCCATATGTGTAGGAGTATTTAGATTGGCTTGATTGAATTAGAGTACCACAAATAAAATACGTTTTATTATATTTTGATTTCACAGCTATGATAATTTATCAATATGTAAAGGAATTTAAATTATGCATGGAAAGATATGAAATAAAATTATGATAAAGATTTAATTATCTAGATTTTCTTAGAAAAAACCATATTTTTTTTAAATTATAGTAAATGTTACATTGCCAAAACTAAACGATTAATGTCTTGCCATAAATTCCACGTCGTTAATTTAATGACATAAATGTCATGCCATTTAAAATTTTTAAAAATTATAGCAAATGTTATATTCCTAAAGCTATACGAATAATGACTTACCATAAACGTTATGCCATTAATTTTGCGACATAAATGTCATGCCATGAAATTTTTTATAGAGTTATAGAGAAAGATTTTGAGGTTTTCAACTGCTTGGAAACACTGCAGCTTCACTTTTTTTCCTACTTAAAAGCTAGTATCTAATATTTATCACGATCAGCTGAATAGAAAGTTCCTCCAACAAATTCCTTCCATGACAACCATTTAGTACTTACTTTTAATTACAAAATTCAAATGAGATAATGTAAATCTCAATATGTATTCAAAAATAACTCTTCACTCACCTGTGTGAATGGCAATTGCTCCGAATTAGCACCACACTTGCAGACGCTCTGCTCGATGACGCGCATAGCGAAGCGGCGATGTGCCACACATGCCTGCGATTCGCAAGCATCACCATCGTCCGATGAAATATGCGAATGCACACGATGCAAAAGTAATTCAAAACATTCGGCAGCATCACCTAGGCAGCCAAGCGGAAAACGACGACCGGCTAGTGGGCCACTAGCCAAGGCGCGACGCAGAGGTTCCGGACACAGTGCGGGCTCTGAGCTGGTTTGTAATTGTTGGAAGAGTTCCTGAGGAGGAAGAAAAAAAGAAAGGAAATTGAAATTAGTAACGAAGAGGGCATAATTAAATGCTAGAACATGTGCCTTAGAAAGCGAACACACACACAGTCACACAAACACACTTATATAATCAGCATGGAAAATAATTGCAAAAAATAAATGATAAAATAAAATAAATTTCAATTAGCTATAGTTTAACATATTTTACGCTTCAACACTCACAATCACTGCACTTATGCAACGATCACGTTCACCGACGCCGTCACATGCTGTCCGATTGGCTGTCGATTGTGCGAGTAGTGTGTCATTGCTGCCGAAGATGTGCTCATTGCTACTACTTTTCCTATAGTAATAACCATTTGTGTTGTTGTTATTGTTGGTACTGCAATTGAGTATATTATTCATGCTGCCACCGATCGCGTAACCCCAGCCGGCTAACTCCGCCGTCGAGGCCACCTTCGCCAGTGCGGAGACCTTTCGACTACTGGCGGTTTGTCGCGTCAACGTTGCCGATTTGTTGCCATCCAATAGTGGATCGTACAATTTCCGTGGACTGCTACGCGGCAGGGTACCATTATTGCTGATCAGCTGCGCGTGTTGCGGATGTTGGGGTTTAAGTGGCGAGCTGATTGTGCTGCAGTTGTTGTTGGCGGCAGGTGTTTGTGTGTAGTGATATGATTGTTGTTGGTTATGGAATTGTTGCTGTTGTTGTTGTTGCTGCTGGTGTTGGTGCTGTTTTTGTAGTTGTAACTGTTGATGCATTTGCTGTTGAAATTGTTGCAATTTTTGCTTTTGCATTTGCTGTTGTTGCAACTGTTGCATAAACAGCTGCTGATGCTCTTGTTGTTGTTGCTGCTGACTCAACCCATTCTGGTTTGGTCGGCAATTTTCCTTCGTTGTCGTCGCCAGTGCTGCTTTGGCAGCATCCTTTTGACTTTCCGCCTGACTATTTTTAGTATTACTACTGTTGTTGTTATTGTTGTTGTTGTTGTTGTTGTTATTGCTATTATTTTTATTTTTATTCGCGTTTTTCGTTTCTTCAAGCGTCGTTGCGTTTGCCGTTGAATTGGCCGCTGTTGGTTCTTTGCGTTTATAGCGAAACTTAATCATTTTGTATGTGTCTTGTGTTCGTTGTTGTTGTTGCTAGAAAGCTAGTTAGTTCGTTGTGTTGTTTTCGTTGTTGCCGTAAGTGATGGCGTTTCCGTTTCTGATTAGTTTACATTAAATTACAAACGTCAACATTTTCGACTTCCGTTCGCGTTTGCTGTTGTTGTTGTTGTAAGCTAGTTGTAGCTGCTGTAAAAAGTTGCAAATAAGTATTTTTTGGCGACAAGAAAATACTGAATGAGTCAGCGAATTGGTAGATGGCCATATGAAAGTGTTACTGAGCTGGAGCGAGTTTGAGGTTAAGTTTTCGAAGGTTTTTATATTTGTTATTATTTATAATAAAACAAAAATTTATGAAAAAAATTGTCAAAAATTTTATAAGAAAATTATTATTCGTTATTATATGTTTACATTTCAAATAATAATTTATTTTAATTATTGAATTTTTAACTATAATTATTTAATTAAATTGTTTATTTAATTTATATGTATTTTGTATTTTATATTTTATATTTTATATTTTATATTTTATATTTTATATTTTATATTTTATATTTTATATTTTATATTTTATATTTTATATTTTATATTTTATATTTTTTATTTTATATTTTATATTTTATATTTTATATTTTATATTTTATATTTTATATTTTATATTTTTTATTTTATATTTTATATTTAAATTTTATATTATATGCCATATATTCATTTAAATATTGACATAAATCTATTTTTTAGAGTTTTTTGTGTTTTTCTTTCCAAACTTATTGTGACTCATTTTAAAGATTGGATTACATAACGATTTATTTCCTCTGGCACATTGCGCCACAATTTCAACTTGACCTCATTTAACCCACAAGACTACCACACAAAATAAAGGCAAAAAAAAGTAAATAAAATAATTGCAATAAAAAAACTAAATCTCAGACACGAATCAAAGCGGAAAATATATAACAACAGAACGAAATATTTAATTGAAAAAAAAAATAAAAAAAAAGAAATAGTATATACTATTAATATAACTGAACTTTCTGTAAGGTAATGTGAAACTAGCTGCTGATTTATGTATGTGATAATCAGCTGTGAGTGAACTCATTAACAAACTCAGCAAAAGACGTGGACAGAAAAGTGGGAAAGTATGTATGTATACAAGCATAGTAACATGTAGAAGAAATGAGCGGTATATCTAATGAAATAATTTACCTATGATAATTAAATTGGCAAAAAATGGCTGGAGTTTCCAGCTGTTTTCAATGACAATGACTCACAGAGTTTACCATCATGAATTCGCATATTTAGGTTTCGGTAAGAAAAAAGTGCCTCTTCCAACGCTTTACGAAGGAGGAAGAAAAGAAAATGTGGAGGCAAAAAAAAAGGAAAAAAAACTAAGACAAAATAATAAAAATAAATAAAAAAAATAAAATAAAATGAATTAAAAAAAGTAGAATAAAATAACATAAAACCAAATCAAATCAAACAAAATGCAATACAATAAAATAAAATTAAAAAAAAAAACAAATAGAAAGAGCTGAAATAAAATTATTAAAAAAAAAAATTAAAAAAAGTAAAAAAAAAAATTTAATAAAAATAATAAAATAAAATAAATTGAAAAATATCAAAAACATCTTCATGTGTGTATACACATAAATATTAAGTTACCTAGCATAAATACGCTCTTATATTTGTTGTAAGGATGATCAAACTTGCGGCAACTACCACCAAACAATCAAACCAGCACTTAATAAAATAGCAACACACACCAACAGCAGACGTTTAAGAAGGTGCGATTCTTACGCTGTGTGACGGAAGCCTCTAAGGGGTATATACATAAAAAAAAAATTTCAAAGCATTGCCTACTAAATGCTAGCAATTCAATCATCTACCCAGCACAGGGAACACTTTAACCTCTTTGAACTTTTGCTTCCATGTAAAAGTATCAAAAAACACTTGTATCGAAGAGAATGAACTTGAAGGGAAGACCCGAAAGCTGTTCATAAGTAAAGTAATGTGTATGAATGTTCAAAATGCTAATATTTTGCACTATTCCATAAGTGTGCGTGTGCTTGCGTATATATATATATAATATATATAATATATATACATAAATACTCGTATATGCAAATTTATGCTTGATGCCATGTGCTGGTGTGTTTGGAGCACGTGTCGCCGTTTAAAGTTGGTAAGCAAATGACGTTAATGACATGTTGTTGAATAAAAAAAATAAAAACCCAAAAATAATAATGCAAGCATAGTGAAAAACAACAATATAGTATTAACAATAGTTGGTGGTAAAAGGTAAACCGACTAATTGCGCCTTTCCAGCACAAGCACTCATATATATGTATATACGTGTACATTCGCAAATTATTAACAACAGCTGGTAAGCGAAAGCCTAAAGCACATACCAATTTACAACTATACACATTTATACATATTTCCATTACTGAAGTGTTGCTTTTAAGCATAAGAATTGTATACACATACTTTGTAAACCTCAAGGCGAAGTGTGACATTAGGAACCAACGGTTGTAGTTCCTCACAGCTTTTCGTAGAAACTTTAGCAAAAGTGGCACTCATTGGAAACTTATTTCTACTTTGTGGTGTGGCATGTCTCACAATGGCCGGCATGTGGAGCGCAATTTATTGATTGTACTTTAGACACTTGCTATTTTATTGTACACTCCAAGCCAAATTTGTCGTCCTTAAGGGGCTTCGAGCAATTTTTTCTTCTGCTCTGTATTATTTAAAATGCAGTGCGCTGCTAAGCGTGTTAAATTGTGACATAAACGACGCAGCTGTTGCTTGATTAAGGACATTAATTGATATAATGCCTGTGTTCGGTTGTTAAATTACAACATTGTATTTACTTGTGGGTTCATCATGGTGTTTTGCAGATAAATAATTCTCTTTTTATCTAGTGGAAAATAAATTTTAAGGAAGGAGAGTAACTATGAAGGAATTAAGATTAATTATTATGAGTAAACGCAAAAATCTAATAAAAATCTTCTAATAGCATTAAACGTTTTATGCTTATTTAAGAATATTATGAGTAAAATGGGCACATTAAAAATGAATTTATTTTACTTTGTTCTAATTTTTTTTAATTTTATTTATATTATTTATTTTAATTTACCGTATTTAGTATATTAATTTATTTTATTTGAGTTGTTTAAATTTTATTGTGTTTTATTTTACCATTTTATTTTATTTTATATTATCAAACTCGTTCCATTTATTTTATTTTATTTTATTTAATTATTTATTTTGTTTAATTTTTTAATTTATTTTTAATTAATCTATTAAATTATAATTTAATTCAGTAAAATTATATTGTATAATTTTATTTTTAATTTCATTTACAATAATTTTATTTTATTCCAAACTTTTTTAATATATGTAATATTTTTTTTATTTTAAATAATCTTATTTTCCTTATATTAATTTTTTTTATTCGAATTGATTTTGGGTTTTTATTTTTATTTATTTTATTCAAATTTATTTTATTTTATTTATTTTATTTTATTTATTTTATTTGATTTTGTTTTATTTTATTTTAATTTATTTAGGTTCATTATATTTTTAGTATTATTTAATTTAATTTAATTTTATTTTATTTTATTTTTACACGTGAATTTTATTTTAATTTTATTTTATTTTCATAAGTGTACTTTATTTTAATTTTATTTATTTCATTTTAGTTAAATTTTTTTTACTTTGTTTCATTGTATTTTATCTTACTATATTTTCTTTTATTTCCTTTTATTCTTATTTATAATATCCTACTTTAATTAAGGTTTCATTGATTTTTTTTTGATTTAGTTTAGTTTTACCTCATGTTTATTTAATTAATTTTTTTTTAATTTAAAAAAAGTTTCTTCACTTTTAATTTAATTTTAATTTTAATTTTATTTTTTTTATATTTCCCTTTCATAACAATTTCTTTGTTAATATTTTGTCGACATAGTCAACAAAATAACGCTTGCTCAGCTTCTAAGTGGAAATACAACACAACGGCAACTTTCGTTTTTTTTCAACATCCACTCCCAGTTTTTACAGCTTTCGCTCTTCCCTTATTAAACATCGAAAATACAAATACAAACGTCCACTATAAACTTTCTGCTCAACATACCCAAACACTTGTATGCTCATATAAGTGTCTATGTATGCCTTTGTATGTACACATAGTAACCTTTTTGTAAACTCATAAATTTTGCAACGCAAACGCTCACCTAATTTTCAAAACCGGTATTGCCGAATTCTGCAAAATGCATACATATTTACTTATATCTGTGCATACAAGTATAAGAGAGCTGTTGTGATGGCGTCAGCGTGCATAAAATACAAGAAAAAAAGTGGAACAAGCTGCCAAACAACAACAATTAGTTCGAAGATCGAAATCAACAAAAGACTCCATAAATCAGGATTTTGTTTCTTTTTCCATGAAAAAAAAATTAAATTCTTTTATTTTCAGTCAGGTTTCAGTAAGCGAGATGAATCGCTTGTAAATGAAGTGCAGTAATTGTTGAAAAAAGTGATGCACAAAATTGCTTGTGGTTGCTGATTAATTTCCTGATCTTTGTGATCATGCTGCCTTGGCGGTTTGTGTATAATTTTTAGGGAAAATAAAAAGTTTGCTGATTATAACCGCAGTAGCGGTGAATTTATGAGCTTTGTGTTTTTTGTAGAAGTTCTTGTTTCGGAACCCTAAATTATGTAGACTCTTTGTGCTGATTGTTTATACGCAATTGGTTATAAAATTGCAAAATAATATAGTAAATTAGATAATCAAATTTTCATTTTTTTATTTTTTTAAATTATTTTTATTTTTTTCTTTAATTTTATTTTGGCAAAGGTTCTCACTTAATTAAAAAAGGGTAACAACTGCTATTGGGAAACTCTACCATACAAAAATGTTTAAAAATACATACATACTTATGTAAGTATATTTGAAATAAAATATTCACATTAAAAATGTGTTTATGGCAGCAGTCAGCCAGACGTGTCGAATTCGCGAAATGCTGACATTGTGCCGCAAGTTTTTGTATACATATATTTTTTGAAATTTTTATTTTTATAAATGTTTGCAACATAAACAAAGCGCCTGTTGATACAGGTGTCAGATAGCTTAACAAGTGAGCACATTACTGGAACTGGAAATTTTAGATATACAAAACAAGCCAGATAAG